GGATTTTTTTTTTTTTTTTTGGTGAGACAAATGGACAAATCAGTGCAATTCCTCACATTTTAATTCAGTTTGATTGTTTTTTCTGCAGGTGATCAAGTCCGTAGAGGAGGGCTACCGACTCCCTGCCCCCATGGGCTGCCCCGGTGCGCTCCACACCCTAATGCTGGACTGCTGGCAGAAAGACCGCAATGAAAGGCCCAAATTCTGCCAGATCGGATGGGCCGTTATAAGGACCACTTTGCCGCAGGAGGGTATCTGACTCTAGGACATGTGATGAGCATGAAACAACAGTGAGTTGATTGAGTTCTTACTCCATAACACGATGGAGCGCTCCAGATTGCTAATGCAGAAATGAAGCCTTTTAGATGCATCTTCACAGCGTGAATCTTTGCGCTGAGGTAGATGGAGGACAGATTGGAGGTGCCTTCATGACTTTAAGCCTTTGATTGATCGCCACCTCCTCAAGTCGGCTGATCAGTGACCATTAGATGGAGTTTCAGGACTATGTGTCCATTGTCTGTCCAATGGGTCAGTCAGTGCTATGCCTGTTGGTCCAGTTTTAGTGGATTTGTAGACATTGCAGCCTTCAATCGATGCCTGGTTTCCAAACAGAAATGGGAGCTAGCTTGGTGGAGACCAGTTTTAACAGTTCATTTCATTAGTTTATGCTCTTAATTTGATTGCCTTCAGATGTTTGAAAGTTTAGATCACCCAAAAATGAAAATTTACTATTTGCATGTTGTTCCAAACTCATATGACTTCATTACTTTCTATTTTTTCACTATATTCCAAGTGTTTTGTAGCCATTTAAAAGCGTTGTGAAGAAAAAAGCTGATTAATTCACAGTGCTGTTACTGTTAACTAATATTAGGTTAAAGCTTCAACTTAAAAACTTAAATGAAATTTACAACTGAAATAAAAGGCTTGGAAGCTTGTTTCGAATCAACTAAAAAAAAGTTTGACTTTTTCTCACAACTTTGGCTTTTTTACCTCAGAATTGTGATTAAAAGTTGCAATTACTTTAGAAAAAAAATAAATAAATTATTTAGTGGCGGAAATGGGCTTCCGTAAAAAATAAAGCTAAATAAATAAAAATGACAATTACTAAAACTTAAAAACACTGATTAGTTATTAATTGAAAAACAGTACTGTGGTCTAGTAGGGCTATTTTTCCATGTTTTCTCCACATTTCCTTGACTACTCAGTGGGTGGTCAATTTTGGACCAAATGCACTGTTCTGTTCAACAAAATGCAACTAGCTTTCTGGAAATCATTTTGTTAGAGTCTCTTTATTAGATGTGCTCATAAAATCAGCCATAATGTCTTCAGGGTGTTCCTTAATGTGTAAGAAAAAAAAACATTCTTCCCTGACCAACTGCAACCATACTGTTTGCAAATCATTTGTTTATGAATCTTTTAACATAAAAAGCCCATAATTAGAGCTGCACAGTTAATTGCATAAATAATCATGTTTATGGTTACGGTGGCCATGATTAAATTGAAAAGGGTCAATTACAGCAATAGAAAGGGTTTAGTAGATGTTTGTGTAGAAATGAATTGATAGTTCCAATAATTATGGAAGCTTGTTTCCGCCATGGTATAACATATTTTTTAAAGTTTGACTTTTTGTATCACAGTTCAGACTTTCTTGCATTTCTGAGTTTATAAACTCAGAATTGCAATATATATAAAGTCGGAATTCTGATATAAACTCTAAATTCTGAGGGAAAAAAAGTCAAAATTCTTAGATATAAACTTGCAATTGTAAGGGGGGAAAAAAAAGTCAGAATTGTGGCATATAAAAAAAAAAGTTGCAAATATCTTAATTTTTTTTTTATTCTGTGGCAGGAAAAAAAAACGAATTCAGAGGAAAAAGTCAATTATATGTTTATATCTTGCAATTCAGAATTTATAATTTGCAATTCAGAGTTTATATCGCTCACACAAATTCTGACTTTTTTCATGCAGTTCTTACTCCTACTTTAATCCGTGGTGGAAACGGGCTTCCATTAAAGAACAAACATGTCTAGATTAACATTAGTCTGTAGTCCCATAAATAATGAGTGTGTTTTTTAAGTTCTCTGAACACATTTCTCGGCTTGTCTTTGGATGTTTACATTCATAATACAGAGTCTATGAATCAAAAATATTAATCATAATTTACAAAATTAACAAACGTAATTCCATAATTATCTAATCCCGTTTCGTTGTCCACTTCCATCTCAGTGACATGCAGAGGTTGGGAGTCACACTAATGGGTCATCAGAAGAAGATCATGACCAGCGTCCAGGTGATGAGAGCCCAGGTACTGAACCAGAGCGTGCCGTCGGTGCACATATAATCACGGACCTCGTCAGAATACAAGTACGGTACATATGGATCTGATACGTGTTTGGGTCTTGTGTATGTACTTCAAACGACTGTCCCTTCTTTAACGAAACCTGACATGGACTATTATTACTGCGATAAGGATGGAGTTTTTCTTCTTCAGCGGGACATTCTGCAATTATCCCTTTTCTCTTTTACTTTCTTTTGTAAATGTTTGGACTGCCTTAAATGACACATTATTTAAATATTGTTGTACATTGATAAAGATTTTATGAATAATAGTCATGAATATGTAAAGAGTGGACCTAATCATGAATATTAAAAAGATGGAAATGAATACGCATAATGTACAAGTTTGGCCACACCCACCACAGCACCACAACGGCATGGATGAAACTTCACGAGTACCTCGAGCGCTGAAACGTGACGCTGAATAAAAGACGGAACAATGAGATGCCACAGGAGAATATGCGTTAAACTACAAGCATATAATCTATGACAAACCGAGACCCTCAAGAGGAAACATTTGGGCTCCTGACAAAAGCTGCAGAGCGCGCAAGAATACGGACAAATGCTGAATTAGTCTGTTTTGTCTCTGTGGTCGGAAAAAGGCAATTATGTATGTCATGTGTTTGATTAAACACTCTGAAACTCAAGCTGCTGTTATTTATTGCGTGCAGAACGGCGCCGGATCCCTCCGGAAATGGGAGGAATAAATATGTGTAAACGCCCGAACACAAGTACATATTGATCTGATACATGTTTGGGTACTTCAAACGACTGTCCCTTCCTAAACGAAAGCTGACATGGACTATTGTTACTGGGATAAGGATGGAGTTTTTCTTCTTCGGCGGGACTTTCTGCAATTATCCCTTTTCTCTTTTACTTTCTTTTGTAAATGTTTGGACTGCCTTAAATGACACATTATTTAAATATTGTTGTACATTGATAAAGATTTTATGAATAATAGTCATGAATATGTAAAGAGTGGACCTAATCATGAATATTAAAAAGATGGAAATGAATATGCATAGTGTACAAGTTTGGCCACACCCACCACAGCACCACAACGGCATGGATGAAACTTCACGAGTACCTCGAGCGCTGAAACGTGACGCTGAATAAAAGACGGAACAATGAGATGCCACAGGAGAATATGCGTTAAACTACAAGCATATAATCTATGACAAACCGAGACCCTCAAGAGGAAACATTTGGGCTCCTGACAAAAGCTGCAGAGCGCGCAAGAATACGGACAAATGCTGAATTAGTCTGTTTTGTCTCTGTGGTCGGAAAAAGGCAATTATGTATGTCATGTGTTTGATTAAACACTCTGAAACTCAAGCTGCTGTTATTTATTGCGTGCAGAACGGCGCCGGATCCCTCCGGAAATGGGAGGAATAAATATGTGTAAATGTTAGTCTGCGGAAAACAGAAACACTTAACTTTCCTTACTCTTGAAATCTGTCTGAAATAGAGTCTGTATCTTTCTCTTACTGCTGGATTCAGAGTTCAGGCCAGTTTTTAAATATTTATTCAGACCCTGAGAAAATCCGTGTTCTCAGCGTTTGGGCTGTTTTGCATCAAATAAATCCTTCGTTTTACTAAAACTAACACACTAAGGATATAGTAATGAACTTGCTTTGCGCTAAAAGTTGTGTGGATCTTGCAATGGTGGGAGTGACTAATTTAAAGTCAACATGAAATCAAAACGGACCCTGTTTACTTTGTTAGATGTTCCTGGGCTTATTATGAACGATTCATCTGTGCATGTTTTCCCAAAGGGAAAAATGTTTGTTTTTGTCATTTTCATTCAAAAGTTCTCTGCCTCTTTCGCCAGCTGAAAGGACGTTCCCCTTCAACCGCTTTTCACGATTCTATGGAAGCTTGTTTCCACCACGGGATTAAAAAATAATAATAATAAAAAGGCAATTGTGACTTTTTATCTCACAATTTAGAATTTTTTTCCACCAGAATTCTGATATATAAACTCAGAATTGTCAGAAAAAGTATAATGTCACAATTCTGAGAAAAGTCGGAATTGCAAGATACAAACTCAGAATTGTGAGGTGTAAAATCGTAATTGTGAAATATAATTGTGAAAGAAAAGGTTGCAATTACTTTTAAAAAAATTTTTTTATCCCTTGGCAGAAATGGGCTTCCGTATGATACCGCCATACATTAAATTCCCTTGTTGGATATCCTTTTCACAGAAGTAAAATGGGTTGTGAATGCCATTTCATGTTGACTTTACAAAAACACTGGACCTCATTTAATTTTTGACAACAGGGTATTGTCTGTATGTTAATCTTTTTATTTATTAAATTTTAACTATTAAGTTTCAATTATAAAATTACCTAATTGTGCATTTGTTTGTAAGACATTAATGGAGTTTCATGAATTACATGTAAATATTAATAAAATGAAGATTTTTTTTTCACTCTCTCTCTCTCTCTCTCTCTCTCTCTGTTTCTTTGAAAAGAGCTATATCTATATGCAACCTGGAGTGCAAATAAAAACAAAACACTCCCATTTTGTGTCTGTCAATAAATTCAACCAATCGTAGAGGATATTTAAATGTAGTTTTTTTTTTGTTTTTTTGTCATCATCATCAATATCCTCATCATTTTTATAATTCCCCATTGAAAATAATCCATGTCAGGGTCCTATTTTACCCCAAAATTAAATGCAAATGAAGATGTTTTAAGATTTTTTTTCCCCATTGTGACATTGTTTATGAAAATTAAACACATTTTCCCCACATCAAATTAATTTATTCTTCTTTAGATGTTTTGCTTTGGTTTTTTAAGTTCTCATTATGGTAATTAAAAAACATCAATAACAAAAATACAAAAAAACAAAACATTTTATATTCCTAAATGTGAACTATCAAGTAAAATAATTTATAGTATAAAAAAATAAAGTATACAC